AAAAATACAAAGATTAGCCTGGTGTGGTGGCGCATGCCTGTAATCCCAGCTACTCAGGAGGCTGAGACAGGAGAATCAGTTGATCCCAAGAGGCAGAGGAGGTTGCAGTGAGCTAAGATTGCACCACTCCACTCCAGCCTGATGACAGAGCAATACCAGTAAAAGGTAAGACAACTGTGGCAAAAAGGTCAGGAAAGAAGACATGGAAGTATAATCCTTACAAGATTGTTTGTAAGAAAGATCTTACAAATCTTTATACTATACATGAAGGGGTATGATATCACTTAATGTAGACTGTGATAAGTTAAAGATACATACCATAAACTCGAAAGCAATTTCTATAGTATGGAGAGAGAGAGAGAGAGAGAGAGAGAGAGAGAGAGAGAGAGAGAGAGTTTTACTAATAAGCCACAAAGGAGACAGAATGAAATCATTACAAAACAAAATCTCCATCCAAAAGAATACAAGAAAAGAGAAAAAGGACAGATGGGACAGATAGAAAACAGAAGCCAGACTTAAACCTAAGCCTCCCAATAATCATATTATAAATAAAGCTTATCAGATTGGATAAAAAAGCAGGACCCAACTATATGCCTGACAAAAAATGCACTTAAAATGTAAAGACACAAATAAGTTAAAAGGATGTAAAAAGATAACACCATACTGACACTAATGAAAAGAAAACTGGACGGCTGTGTTTATATCAAGGGTTTCAGACCAGAGCAACAACATAGGAGTAGGGATGAAGAAGGGCATCTCATAATGATCAAGAGGTCATTTCATCAAGAGAACATAACAGTCCTAAATATTTGTGCTCCTAATAACAGCTTCAAACTCCCTGAAGCAAAAATTGATAGAAATTCAAGGAGAAGATAGACAAACCTAAAATTATAATTGGAAATTTGAGTAGCCTTCTTTGCATAATTGATGGACCGAATAGATGGAAACTCAGCATGGATATTGAAGATTTCAACCAAACTTTCAACTAGACCAAATTGACATTTATAGAACACTCTACTCAACCACAGCAAAATAATTTTTCTCAGTGCACACAGAACACTTAGCAAGATATACCATATTCTGGTACAGTTCCCCCAAATTTGGAAACTAACACACTTCTAAATAACCCACAAATTAAAGAAGAAATCCAAGGGGAAACTACAAGGTATTTTGAACTGAATTAAAATGAAAACACAGCATATCAAAATTTTGAAGCTGCCTCTAAAGTAGTAATTCAGGGGACAATTACAGCATTGAAGTTTGTTAGAAACTAGAAAAAGACCAAACTAAACCCAAGGTAAGCAGAAGAATAAAAATAAAGATCAGAGTGGAAATCAATGAAGCATGACCCCAGTTGGCAACCTACAACCTGCGGGCTGGCTGCTTGTTTTCATAAGTAAAATTTACACAAATACTACTATGACTTGCATTCACATATTGTCCTTGGCTGCATTTGCGCTATAGTGGCAAAGTGGAGTAGTGACAGAGACTATATGGCCTAAAAACCTAAAATATTTGCCATCTTATCCTTTAAAAACAAGTTTGCTAACCACAAAACAATAAGTCAGTGAAGCAAAAGGCTGATTTGTTGAGATCAATAAAATGGGTAAGCCTCTAGCAAGGCTGATTGAAGGAGGAAAGAAAAAAGACAGAAATTACCAATGTCAGGGTGAGGGAGGTAACATCACTACAGCTTCTTCAGATAGTAAAAGGATAATAAAGGAATGTTATGGACAACTTTATACCAATTAATTCAATAACTTAGATGAAACTGGCAAATTCTTTGAAAGACACAAACTAGAAAAGTGTACTCAGGAAGAGATGGATGTATATATAAAAGAAATTGTGTTTGTTATTACAAACCTTTCCACAAATAAACTCAAGGCCTAGATGGCTGCATTGGTGAATTATATCAAATAGTTAAGGAAGAATTAACAGCATTTCTCTACAAATGTCTAGGTTTGAAAACGAGGGAATATTTAACAACTTATTCTATGAAGCCAGCATTACCTCGATACCAAAACCAGACTGAGACATTATAGGTAAAGGAAACTGCAAGCCAATATCCCTCATGAAAATACATAAAATATTCTTAACAAAATTTCAGCAAATCAAAGCAACAATATATAAAAGGGATAATACATCATTACCAAGTGGGATTTCTCCCAGGAATGCAAGATTGGTTTAGCATTTGAAAGTTTATTAGTGTAATTCATCAATTAGGACACTAAAAAGTTATATTGTCGTTACAATAGATGCAGAACAGACATTTGACAAAATCTAGCATCCATTCCCGATAAAAATGTGGCTCAGCAGCCAACTGATTTTCAACACAGGTGCCAACATCATACATTGGGGAAAGGACACTCTCTTCAATACGTGGTGCTGGAAAAACTGGATATCCATATGCAGAAGACCTGACACTAGATCCCATCTCTCACCATGTACAGAAACCAACTCAAATGGATTAAAGACTTACCCATAAAACATGAAAGTATGAAACTACTGGAAGAAAACAGAGGGAAGGACTCCGGGATGTCAGTTTAGTCAAAGACTTTATGGCTAAGCCTCTTGTTCTGGTATAGTCTAGATACAATGCCGGAAGCACACTCAATAAAAGAAAAAATGATTAATTGGACTTTGCAAAATTAAAAACTTCTGCTCTTGGAAATACAATGTTAATAGAATGAAAAAACAGAGAGACATGGACTGGGAGAAATATTTGCAAAGCATGTATCTGGTAAAGACCTTATATCCAGAATATGTCAAGAACTCTCAACACTAATAATGGAAAATCAATAACCTATTTTAAACATGGCAAAATATTTGAACAGATATTTCACCAAAGACAACACACAGATAGCAACTACATACATAAAAAGATGTCCAACATCATCAGTCATTTGGGAAATGCAAATTCAAATACCTGCACACCGATTCGGATAGCTAAAAGTAAAAAGACCGAGCATAGCAAGTGTTGGTGAGGATGAGGGAACGGTCCTATACGGCTGGTGGAAAAGTAAAATGGAGCAGTCACTTAGCAAAACAGTGTGTGGCCATTTCCTTAAAAGTTATACATATATAAAAATGTTCATAAATAAACATACATAAATACATAAAAAGTTAGGCTGAGAGCACCTTGGGAAAGTACCCAGGACAGGGGCACAGCTGGGCCTGGGGGTATCTGCCAGCCTCTGGGCAGGGCAGATCCAAGTTTTGTGGGGCCTGAAGCTTATATGACTTGGGTGGTCCTCTGCAGGGAAAATAATTTTCAAATGAGAAATTCAAGATTAGGTACAAAAGTAAATATTTAGGACAAACCAAGTAACCACAAATTCCTGGAGCTGTGGATCTCTAGGTTCCTTTTTTTCCAAGTCATCTTGAGACATTTTTCTAGGAATGCTCACATAAAAATAGCTTCCTGGTGACATCTGACTTCCACTCCTTGTCCCGGACACTCAGCCGTTCCAGCCTTCATAGCCCAAATGCTGTGCAGCACTGCTGTTGCCACGGCAGAGCTGCCTTCAGATGGCAGCCTCGGTAGGTGGCAGTGCCTATACCCTTGTGAGTGGCCACAGCAGCCAACCAAGCAGCCTCTGGGGTTGGGCTCTGCTGTCTCGGCCTCCAGCTTCCTTCCTCCCCAGCTCCACAGCTCTGCTGCCCAGCGGCTGCCTGAGTCCCAGCAGCTTGCGTCCGTAGTGAAGGGCTCCAGAGGGCATCGCAGAGCCCTGGCTGCTCGTTGCCCCCCCTCCTCCGCCAGCGTTGGGCCCCACGGCCCCTCCCCCTGTCTCCCCCCAGGCCTGCCTGTGGTGCCCTCAGCGGGGTCACAGTCCTGCCCTTTGCCTCATTCCTTAGAACAGTCTGCTTGGTTTCCCCAGTTCTTGGAGAGAGATGGTGGGAGGGAATGTGAGATGCTGAGAGCCTAGAGCCAGGACTTGAATCTCTCTCTGGCTGTGCCATTTATTCGCTGTGTGCATTCAACAGGCTACTTAATTCCTCTGTGCTTCCGTTTCCTCATCTGTAAAATGTAATTGGAAATAATACCTTCCTCACAGAGTAACTGTGGAGGTTAAAGAACCCCAGGAGGGCAGGTGTGTGGCAGCTGGGCTCACCAGAAGGGTCCCAGGCATGTACCATGTGCTCAGTAAGCACTGTTCCTGTCAGCTCTCCAACCCTGGGCTGCAGGCTCCAGCAAGGAATGGCCTGTGCCCACCTACTCCCCGGGAACACAGGTCTCTGAATCTCACACCCTACAAGTGGATAGTCTTCGGATGTCAGAGTAGGGTGTATAAAGACAAACTCATTCTTGAAAACCCTTAAATTATTTGTAAAGTCCAGTATAAAATGTTTTATGTATTTCCCAAAGATCAATTCACTTATACATGAAAACCTGAGAACCATAGAGGAGAAACCGGCTGAGTTTTCCGAACCTTCTGCCTTTAGGTACTGATCCACTGTCTAGCTGTGAGATGGGTGTGGTGGAGAATTCTGGGGCGCTGTGTTCCATCCTTTTTAACATGCAGCCTCTGTGACCTTAATACATACAGAGACTCTTGTCTTCAGGATGGGGAGTTGAGCCCTAACGTCCAAGCCAAAGTTAAAAACACATAGTGATGTTGAACTGTGTTCTTAAAGTGGGCAAATTGATTTGAAACAAAGCGTAAAGTGAGGCCACTCTGGGGCACTGAACTTCTCTTAGCTGGCCTAACATCGGCATGCTTTTTTTTCTAATAGTGTCCTGGGTGCTTTACATTATTTCTATTTTGGCATGGGAAAATAACAAAGTGACACTAAGGGAGAAAAGAGAAAATGAGAAAGGGCTCCAAGGAAAGAGGTGTGAGGCTGTGAGAGGGAAGCAAAGCTCAGCTGTTGCTGGGAGGACTTGGAGAGCATCCCACAGGGAGTGAAGCTGGCCACTGCTGGGATGGAGAGTGCACTGCGGGCAGGGACCCGGCATTGCACAGGGACCCTGCGTAAGCCTGTGTCTCCCTGTCTTGCAGGTGGTGCCGGGGAGCAGGAGAAGGTGCCGGCCAACCCCGAGGCGCTCCTGCTCATGGCCAGCTCCCAGCGTGACATGGAGGACTGGGTGCAGGCCATCCGCCGGGTCATCTGTGCCCCTCTGGGCAGAGGTACTGCCCGTAGATCGCATGCCCACCCTCTAGAACATTTGCCTTCAGGTAATCATGCCTCCCCTGTCCTGAGCCCCAAAGGCCCCATTTGCTGGGGACTTCCTGGCTGCGTCCTGTGCTTCTCACAGCAGCCTGGCCCTTCCGCTGCCAGCCCTCGGGAGTCCCCAACAGCTGCCGTGTACTTACTTCCTCCTTTACTGAAAACCATGTATTAGACATCTAAATGTATGGGGTTTGATTCCAGGGGTGAGGAATTCATGAGGATAGGCCATGCCCCCACCCTCCCTCATTTCCATTCTCTGCGGGAGGGATGGTAGACAGGGACATGTGTCTCTTGGTATCCAGGGGTGAAATCTGCCACAAAGGCAGTGAAGCTTGGGGAGAAGACGGAGGGAGTGTGGTTAGGTGGAGTGGCCCAGCAGGCTTAATGCAGCGACAGGTAGCCAGGGGCATGCTGGGGAAGAACATTCCAGCAGAGGCACAGACACGTGCAAAGGGCCCAAGGTAGGGACAAGCTATGGGAACACGAGGCAGTCAGGAAGACTGGGGCTCCCAGGGAGTGAAGACCAGGAGGGTGGGAGGGCCTGAGGTGAGAGTGGTCACCAGGGCCCTGAAGTCCTGGTGGGGATTTTTGATTTTGTTCTAAATACAGTGGGATACCAGGAGGGCTTAGAGCACAGGAGACACACAGAACCTGACTTAGATTTATGAAAAGGGCCCCCTGGCCACCACATGAGGATATCATAGAGGGACTGGAGTGGACACAGCAGGCCAGGATAGTCCATGGGGTGGGTGTGCAGCCAATGGTGCAAGTGGCCAGCTGCAGGTATATCCTGAAGGTGGAGCTGCCAAGTTTTGCCTGTGGTCTGGACATGGGGTATGAGAGAAATGAAAGGTGACTCCGAGCCGTGCAATCACTATCTCTAAGTTGGTGTTCATATGAAGTGGTCATGAAAAGAGCTTTCATAATCAGATCACTGTGGCATTGGGGCCAGGGCCACCAACTCCCTGCTGAACGTGGACACTGGGAGTCTGAAACCTGGCTGGGCTCTGATCACACAAGCCATGGATGTCCCCTGTGTCCCTGTGGTGTTTGATTAGCACACAGTCTAGGCAGGGACAGACCCTAACCTTTTGGGGCTCAGAGCCCATCTCCAGATTTCATAAGCTCCATAGGCTGAGCCCTTCCTTTGCTCCTCTCTTCGCCCACGCTCCTCTCTCACACCTGGCTATGGTCTGCCTGACCACCTTTCATTAAATCATAAATCCCTTACAAGTAAGAGTCAACATAATGTTGAGAGTGAAAGTTGTTCTTCAGGCGTCATGAATGATATCACACTGTCAGCCTTGGTCCCCTTGATCCCTGAAGGTTGCAGCACATTTGACCTATGGCCCCAGCTTAATGGCTCGGAAAGGCCTGAACCCACCCAGGGATTTCTGCAGCCTTGCAAGAGCATCTTTTGGTGCAAGGTTGCTGGAAGAGAACCACTGGAACAGAACAGAGCCCAGAAGCAGAATCCTAAGTAGCTGGACTTTGATGTATGACAGGTGGTACTTCTGAGCACCAGAGAAAGAACGTTAGCATAATCTTAGGGTAGAGAAGTATTTTTTAATGCATTACAAAAAAAATCACTAATCTCTTATGCAATTGTCTGTAAATTATATTTTATAAAATGAAAAGCATCTGTTTTTAAAAGGTAGATTAAGAGAATGAAAAGATCAGCTGTAGATTGGGTGAAGGTGTTTGTAACATATATGATCATCAAATGACTCACTCCCCAAATTCCTACAAATCAATGAGGCAAAACAGACAAGGCAGAAGAAGGGTAGGCAAGAGATTTGGACAGGCATTTCCTAAAAGAAGAAATCCTCATGACTAGTGAACAGAGGCCCCTGCGTACAACCTCATCAGTAATCAGGAAACTGCAAATTAAATCACAATGGGATACTTGTATGCACCCACCAGAATGACTAAATGAAAAAGTCAGTTTCAAGTGGTGATGAGGATTGAAAGCTATAGAAACTTGCACACGTTGCTAGGGAAATCATCAGTGTCTGCTGAAGTTGATGCTGTGCACACCTGTGTCCCAGCAATGTGCACAGGTACACGAGGAGACTGGATACATGGGATGTTCATGACAGTCTTATTGATGTCAGCCTCACAGTAACCCAAGTGCCCAGCAACAATGCAATGGATGACTCAGTCTTAACAGTGGGAAAACTCTACAACGATGAGAATGAAGCCATTACCGTGCCACCTAAAAACATGCGTGAATCTTAAAGAAACAATGTGGAACTAAACCCAGACAAACCCAGAAAAAATAACATGTCATATTATCTCCTTATATGAAGTGGAAATATAGGGCAGAAGGAAACTGTCACTTCTGGATACACAGGCAATAGAATATAAAGGAAAGCAAAGACATGAATGCCATAAAAGTCAGGGCAGTAGGGTGGAGGGAAGACGTTAAGATGGGGTGGGAGAGGGGTAGACATTTCTGAAATGTTCTCTAGCTTGACTTGGGTAGTTACACAAGGGTTCCTTTCACCATAACATATTTTTCTGCACATTTATGCTTCGAGTGCTTTTCTAGATATGCGCATATAAAAAATAAATGAAACAAAGGGAGAAAAGAAGTGAGATGACTTGCCCAAGATGACACAGCCAGCTAAAGGGCAGAACTGAGAAGGGAGGTGGATGTTCTGACCTCAAAGGCTGTGCTCAGTCCCGGCCGAAATAGCGCATCCAAGAGCTGCACCAAGACCTGTGTCCAGCAGGCCTGGCTCCCCAGCCACATGTCCATCTCCCTCTCTGCTTGCTCAGAACTGGGGACCTTCAGCAGAATCCCAGATGGAACCTAGACTCAACCCTTCTGGTGTTTATCTCCCTTCCCAGACTGTGAAGAACTCACAAGCATTAAAACAGGAACTGCCATCAAAGGTGCTTATCTCCTTTCTGCAGGGAGTATAGAGGAAATGCAGAAATCCCAGGAGTTAGCAATGCCAGGCATGTCTGGGCATGCAGGGTGCTGGCAGGTGGGCTCAGTCAGCCCCTGAAGGTTTTCTGGCAGAGCTGTTATTAGCCCACGTACCCTGGGAAAGAGGCTTAGCAGATCAGTCTTTCTTTGGCTGTTTTGTAACAGAGCCCCTGAGCCCTTCCTGTTGTGCTTATTCTGGCACAGGCAGGCCACCTCTGACAGGAGTGGGCAGCCTGCCTGCTGCAGATCCGACAGCCCAGCCATCCCCTTGAGAAGTGGGAGCAGGCCAGTGGTCGGGGAAGCCTCACAGCTGGTGGCCTGCCCAGCCCACCTAGGTGTGGCATCAGCTGGAGTGCCTCTCGTTTGGGCATTCATTCAGTCATTCAGCCATGGACTTGCAAATAAATGTTCTAGGGGCTGGGGAGACAGCAGTGAGTTGGAGGGACAGGCCCTGGCCTCATGGTGCTCCCATGCTAGTTGAGGAGGCAAGTGACTTGCTGAGCAGACATGTGGCAGGTTAGATGGTGGTGGGTGCAGTGGGAACAGAGAAGGCAGGGAGGGGAACACGAGAGATAGAGGTTAGAGTCTGGTGACTTGAGTAGAAGGAAAGAAAGGGTGAATGACAGCACAGGTAGAGGTGGGGGTGGGGGGTCTATGTCAGAACAGCAAGGAGGCCTGTGTGGCCAGAGCAGAGTGTGCAAAGGGGAGGAGAAAGACCAGAGAATGAATGGCCTTGTCATCATGGTAGGGCTGTTAGCATCTCATGGCATGGAACAGAGAAGTGGCAGAGCCTGGCCTAGCTTCTACCAGGATCCTTCTGGTTACTATGTTGAGAATAGACCAAAGCCAGTTAGGAGCTCCTTACACAACAGTGCAGGGGAGAGGTAAGGGTGGCCTGGCCCAATGCGAGTGGTGATAAAAAGTCGTTGAATTCTTGATTTATTTTAAAGGTAGAGCCAGCGGTATTCCCCTGCTGAGAGGGATGAGACATGTATGTGAATGAATGAGAGAATTTAAGGGTAATTCTGGGATGTTTTGATCTAAGCAATAGGAAGCTAAGGGGTTAGCTATTAACTGAGATAGAAAGACTACGGGAAGCGCAGCTATTTGGAAGGAAGATATGGGCCTAGTTTGAGATACCTATTAGATGCTCAAGTTCAGATGTCAAGTAGGCAGGTAGATATTTCAGCCTAGAGATTAGGATAGAGGACTAGGCTAGAAAGAGATTTAGGGGGCCGTCAGCACATAGATGGGGTTTGAAGTCATGAGTCAGGATGAGACAGCACAGAGCGGGTGGAGGGACAGCAGAGGGGGCGAGAAAGAGAGCAAGCCCCAAGAGGGAGGAGAGCCAGAAGCCAGCATTCTTGAGCCAAGTGAAGGAATAAGGGCAATGATCAACTACAGCAAGTGCTGCTGATAGATCAAACAGAGGGTGAAAGGTAGACAGTCATTGGTTACTTGAGCAGAGGGGCTTGGGTAAAGTGCCTGATAATAGTGGGAATGAAAAAGATGATAAAAGGGGAATTAGAGTGTCAGCACAGCCAACTCTTTCAAGAATTTTGCTGTAAAGGGAAAGAGAAAAATAGGACAGCAGCCGGAGGAGGATGTTAGTTAAAGAGGAAGTTTGTTTATTTTTTTAAGTTGAAAGACAAAGCATCACTGCAAAAGATTGTTGGTGCAGGAGGGCCAGAGATTTATTGCTGCAACACCAATATCTCTCATGGCTATAGATACAAAAATCATCCACAAAATACTAACGTGCTGAATCCAAAGAATTATGCCCCATGACCAAATGAGACTTATCCCAAGAATGGAAGGGTGATTTAATGTCTGAAAATCAATGTAATAAATTAACAGAATAAAGGACAAAACACATGATCATCTTAGTAGACTAGAAAAAAACATTTGATAAAATCCTGCACCTTTTAATGATTACAACACTCCAGAACTAGGAATAGAAGGGAACATAACCTAATAAAGGACATCTACAAAAAGCCCACGGATATCATACTTAATCGAGGAAGACTGGGTGCTTTTCTTCCAAGATCAGGAACAAGACAGGGATTCTTG